CAATCGACTGTAATAACAATAATGTAGTAAAATGGCTATGATCAGACCGTAACCAATTTGGCGCCGAATATTAATTTTTTTTCAAAAACTAAATGACAAAAAATTGCTCATGAATTGCTCTTCTGATATAAACAATTGCTCCGCTGCTATAATTAATAATTAATTAATTAATCGTAATTAAAAAATCAAAATTTAATTCCCGATTATCTCTAATTGTGAGGACTAATATTAATTGTAATAAGTGCCAAAAAATTGCTCATCCTTTTTTCTATTGGGAATGATAATTATTTTGTGCGTAAAATCGTTTTTAATTAATTAATACTATAAATAATTATATGGCACCTTTAAACCTGCAAATGACAATTGTGACGTCATCGTCGCGACAATTTGAAAGTATACAGTAAATTTTCTTTTATGAAATATCTTATACTAATAAAGAAAGTCAGTTTTGTTTGTCCTATTTAATATTGACTCGGAAAAGGTCCGCATGTTAAAAAAATATTAGTAACTAATTTTACAAATTGCTAATTAAATAATTAACTTTTTTAGGATTATTTGTGTATGAATTCAAAAAAAATAATTTTATCTATACAGGTCAATTCTATATTTTTATTTCATTTCACCATAATTCAGTTTTTAAAATATTTAAAATATAATAGATATTATCAAATTAAGGGGTTATGTCCACTTGTAAGTTCGAAAAAATGTGTTTTTTTGTTTATTTTTTCTGGAGAGGCTTTTAATTGAATACTAAGTATTAAATATTTTTTAGTACTAAATACTAAATACTAATTTAAGTACTAAATATTAAATATTTTTTGAGAGGCTTTTAATTAAATATTAAGTATATATGTACATAAAATATATATATTCTTCACCGACTTTGAAAACATCGTTTCGAGAAAAACGCATTTTAAGTTTTGGCTATTATTTAAACTACTTTCAAACGCTCGGAGACGTCTTTACAAATACGCTCATTACTCCGAAACTATTTACCGGATTACTTTGAAATTTACAGACAATATTCTCGAATATATATATATATATATATATATATTTAAAATATGCAAAAAAAATTTCGATTTTTTCAAAATTACAAGTGAATATAACCCCTTAAAACATAAAATAATAATGAAATTTTAATATTAGTTGATTTAGAATTACAAGGGTTAGGTTTTTAAACCAAGTCATCAATTTTTACCCAATTATTGTTGATCGATCTTGTATAAGCTACATAATGACCGACTTTATTCAAATATACTGGTGGGACAAACTCTACTACACCAAATAATAAGTAATTTTTGTCAAGTATCTTTAATATTCTATACACTCACATTAAGAAGTTCCTCTCCACAATCCTTTCCTACCAAAATATCCTGTTACGTGAATGTTGGAACGCTTCACGTAATAATTATCCGTAACTCCTATTCTTTCCCGCTTCACAGCATTATTTATATTTGTTATACTACTTTGGAATACTACTTAAGTTCTCGGTTAAACGTTGATTATTATGAAGTTTTGAGGGAAGTCGAAGGTATATGAAAATGACTTATGTCTAAGCTTAAAAATACATTAGTAAAAGTAGATTTTTGGACAGAGTTTTGTGAACAAGACCTGCAGTAAAGGGATGATTCTACTTTTAATGCATCTGAAACACTGTCCTATAATCCAATAATCCAATAATTTCAGCATCATAAAAATAATTATTATTTCATAATTAAACATTGAGCCTAAATAGAATAACCATAAAAAGTTTGTTTACATGGACATATATGCATGTAACTTAATACATCACTATAGCTTGTCCTCATAAGAACGACAATCAAATTGTCGTGACGATGACGTCACAATTGTCATTCGCAGGTTTAAAGGTGCAATATAATTATTTATATAGTATTAATTAATTAAAAACGATTTTACGCACAAAATAACTATCATTCCCAATAGAAAAAAGGATGAGCAATTTTTTGGCACTTATTACAATTAACATTAGTCCTTACAATTAGAGATAATCAGGAATTAAATTTTGATTTTTTAATTACGATTAATTAATTAATTATTAATTATAGCAGCGGAGCAATTGTTTATATCGGAAGAGCAATTCATGAGCAATTTTTTGGCATTTAGTTTTTGAAAAAAAATTAATATTCGGCGCCAAATTGGTTACGGTTTTGATCAGGCGTCGGAAACACATACTACTAAATACGTGGTCATGCAAAAATTGGAAAATTCTTAATGTTAATATACAAAATTATATTTACCTGACTACACAGTTTATAATAGCAATTAAACGATACTGCACAAAATAAAATCTTAAAAAACTAATAACACTTGTAAAACTTATTAATTTAATCAATAAATATACTATCCAAGGGAACAGTATCTGTTAGCCTCATCCAAAACACACACAGCTATAATTTACTATTTCACCCTGAGGTACCTCTACCTTCCATACCTTATACGCATGTACCATAAAATGAGTACCACAAATTATCACCATGTGTCTCTAGTCAAACAATTTGACTAACAGCCCGCAATATTCCAAATTTGAACCACCCTCATAATTTTATCCCTTATTGCATAAATAACTTACTAGAAGTAACATTGCGAATTTTTGAAGCACATTGAACTCTTTAGATGTCTTAATATTTTTTGAAAAATTCACTCTTTCAAAAATTATTCGAGGCTCGGTTAGATGTATCAAACATTTTATGTAGTTATTTAAGACGGTGTACAAATGAAATTTTTAATCTTTACAATTATTTAAAAAAACTCTTAAATATAGTAAATAAATTAAACAGCAATAAATATAGGTTGAGTGTTAATAATTATTTACTTTATACAAAAAATTAATTCCAGCAAACTATTGGCTTCAACAGAAATAAAATCAGCTTTATTACAAATAAGTATAATTATCATAAAAACATCTAATTTTCTCTGTTTAATATCTTTCCAGATTGTTTTACTGAAAATGAAATAAATATCACAACTCATCGCATTAAAACAAATTAATTGAAAATAACAGTGTTTTTGATGTAAAAGTCGATCAAAATACTTTCCAATCAGCCACATCCGGTTAAAAGTTTTATTTATATAGATTTTAAAAAATAACCATTTATTTAAGGTCTATTGGAAAGTCAAAATAACATAATTATTAATTTAATCACAATTATTTTTTATTGTAACTTATAACTATTTTTATTTAATAGCGTTATTCTTTTACTACCCCTTTCGGCTACTACCAGCTGCAAAAAACATAAAAAAAAAATATGGTTAGCAATAAAGTAATATACTTAATTCTTTATGTTTAATACAATTTTATATACATCTCTGTATAAATATATATGTATATTACTTTCACAAGCATAAAGGTATATATAAGAGCTGAAGGATTCCTCTTACTTTCTCCGAAGTAGAAAAGTAGGTCTCAAAACACACATCACCGATCATATTATGCTGACGAGAGTCTGAGATTCGACCTTGAATGTCATTATAATTTATTGACCTTTATTAATAAATATATTCGAAAACAATCAATAAAACACTAACATATATAGCTGTGCTTAAATAAACAGGCTTTTAAAAAATTTATATAAACAACAATTTACTAGCACTCTTGGTTTATACAAAGTGGTAATGAAGATTTTATTTTTAACAAAATGTATTAAGTATTCTCTATGTGACATTTAAACTTCCGCATTATATTGTAAGACTTGTATTTTCAACGGCCAGTGAAAGTGACTAAGACATGACTTAAATTTGTAATTTATTTTTAAATGTACCAAAATTAATTTGCATCCTCGAATTCATACTTAAAACCACAGAACAGTAGCGTTCGGAAATTTCCGCCGCTGAGTTGATCCCTTCAAATTTTTCGTACTTTGTCAATCTCTCAATCTACTTGCTGAATACCGTAGGTCAACAAGATAAAGGTCCTGTTAAAATTTGAGCCCTTAATATTGAGATTAAGAGATCACATCAAAATTTATAATTTTCTGTCGAAATAACAAAAAAAAAATTTATTTAACTTTTGGAATTATATGGATCTTTTTACAAACAACATAAAAAAAACGACACATAATTTTGTAGGAAGTTAAATGTTCTAAAGAAAAGGTCTCTTGTGATTTTTCAAGCAATTTACTTTTTCAAAAGTTATTCAAGGTTAAAGTTGGAGATATAGTATAATTTTTTTTTATTAACGACGAAATTGTTGTTATTTAAATAAAAATTTGTTTTTTTTTTTAATTTTTTTCAGACTGTATTAATTAACAATTGAAAGTACATTTCAACCGACAGAAATTAAAGATCTGTACATAAATTTATCGGATACAAAATAATTAAATGTTATTAATATTTCTTTTTTCTCTTACAAATTAATATGCACATAAATTAAAAATTATTTATAGATATAATTATATGGCTGTAATTATTGGAATGATAAATAATTTCAAGCATATATTTATTGTAAAGAAAGGTATTTTCGTTAATTACAGTAGGAAGTATAGTTTTAAGAATATAATAAAAAATAGTTAGGTACCAAGCGTGACAGGTTCAATAATCGATCTTCAAGAACGTCATATAGACTTTCGCTTAATAGAAACATGCTGTATATATTTATCATATTTATTTTCAATTGACCTTTCAATAATTACGAAGATACAATTTTATACAAGTCATAGAATAATTATTTACGCTTGAAAATATACTTTTATTTTGTGGATAATTTTATATTTACTATTATAATAATTAATAGTAAAAAGATTAATTAGATATGTTTATAATTTATAATAATTCTTTGTTACATTGTGAAATTATTATTTTTAATTTGAGAATTGCGAGAAAAGCGTTTTTATTAAATTATAGTCATTGTTTGTTCATTTTTTATTTTATTATTTTTTGTTTGTGCTATGATTGAATGGTTTATGGTATTTTGTTTTTTATTGTAGAGTTTTAAAATATAAGTACACTATAGTTGCGATGACGTTATTACTACATCTTCATTGTTCACAGGAGCTCATTGGGACAGCAGAATCAATCTGTAAACAAAAATAGTTTATTTTTAAAATGTCTAGTGAGTTGTGCAGGTTTAATTAATTTATTCGATTTCGATAGACTTTATCAATTAATTCTATTAAAAAATAGTATTTAATTATGAGAATGAAATTAATAAGCATCTGAAAACTTTTAAGATTTTTATAATTACTAAAGTATTAAAAAAAAAAATTTAGAAAAAATTTCCACGTAAAATAAAAAAAAAAAAATTTTCCAATATGATTTAATAGTAATCAAAATTCAAAAACTGTCAGATGTCTGCTGATTTTAATATCACTAATCATTTTTAATTCAAGACACAGATAAAAATTTGAAGTTTCCTTTACAAAAATCGAGTATCTAAGATTTGTTTTTTATTTTTCAACATAAATTAATTTTTAACTTCCCGCTAAGAAAATTGAAAATTTTCAAAAATCGGGAAGTTATTGGTTTTACCCCGTTTTTCGAAAATCGAGTTCTCATCAGATTTTGACGTTTAGAGGTCCTAGGAAGCTTCCCTGAATGTTTTCTTTATCATGTCCGTATGTCTGTATGTATGTGTGTGTGGGTATGTGTGTGTATGTATGTATGTATGTGACCCTCTTATAACTTTTGAACGGCTTGACCGATTTTATCGCGGATGACGCCATTCGAAAGGGCTTGACCAAACTTAGATTTTGAATACACTTTGGACCGATTAGAACCGGTAGATTTTGAGAAATCTCAAAAAAACTACAAAAAAAAATTTTTTGAAATGTGATTTTTTTGGAATTACTTTTAAATGGATGCACCGATCAATTCCGAAATCTAATCAGCTCTGAAGATCAAAAAACCACGTCGATCATCGCAAGCCCGGTCAAAATCGGTTGATTCGTTCGTGAGTTATCGTTGTCGAAAGAAAACCGAAAAAAAGTGTTTTTTCGGAATTACTTCGAAATTCCTAGCTCGATCGATTAAAACTTGAAATTTCGTCACGGGGCTTCAAAAACTGCGTTAAATGCTGCCAACAGCGTGGAAATTGGTTTATTCATTCAAAAGTTATTGCCGTTTGAAAATTCACAAAATTGTGTTTTATTAAACTGCTATTAGAGTTTTGAGCTCGAAGAGCTCAAAATGACACAAAAATCATATTTGTGAGCTCGAAGAGCTCAAAAACGTAATGTGTAATTTTGAGCGCTTCAGTCCAAAATGAGCGGGAAGTTGCAGGGATGGCCTTTAGGGTCAACCGTCGTCCTAATTTTTATTCAAGTATTTGACATCTAACCATTTACGAATTCAGAGTAACATAAAAAGAAAATAAATTCTTGCCATAAAAATCAATGATTTTAATTTGAAAAAAATAAAGATTGGAATTATTTTCTAACGAATATTATTAGGCTACTTTGATGATATATATTCGGACTACCACTATCGAAAAATTTCAAAAAATCACTTTTAAAAAACATTAAGTTCAGTTCAAACTTAAATCCAAATAACTTTTTAACTTTGTTTGATAAAATAATGTTAACAAGTATAAAAACCACGTAATATTTGATGTTACGATAATACGTCATTTGAGAAAATTTTATCTATATCTCAAGTAAATATTGCACGGCATCATAATTATTACACAATTTATTTGTAAATTTGAGATGATAACTCATAATTCGTGTGACATATTCCAAAAATGTAACTATGCAGGGAAGCTCTCATATTTGAGTTAGATATTTTTACAATAATTATTTAGTAAAATAATTCACCCCTTCGTAGCTCGTATTCGAACACAATATTTAATTTAATACTTTTTTCCGGGTTTTTTATTCTAAGTTTCTAATTAAATTTCCGACCTTACTTCCTTTTTGGTCTCTAATAAAATTTTCAACGAAAGAATGTCGTGCGTCTATCCTAATATAGATCAACTTTTATGGGAATACATTATTTGACATAAAAATTAAATAAAAAAGTAGCATTATCTCTATCTCGAAATAAAAATGTTTTTACTAAATTGATAATAAAATATTTATGTAGATCATGGCTTATGGCGCTCAAAGCAACTGTATTATCGGTAATGTTTCTTATTCGTTACGTTGGTAAGTCGTAAAACCTCTTGGCCATCAAACGGTCTTTCTTGCACTGGTACTTACTCTATTATTGATGTAATAAAAAGTGTTTATAATCTATGATAACTACATAGAAGTAAAATTACCTTAGGTATTGATGGTTTCCACTTGATAAACTTGTCTTTATGGAAAATGTATTGATCATTTTTGCTCTTGAAATTTTCACCATCAATGTAGTCAACATCATCTCTAGGTAACTGTTTGGTACGCCGTTGCAAGCGATAAAAATATCTCAAAACATCTTGAATATTATTTAAATCGATGAAATTTTCTCCATTACTGCTACCAAATAAATTGTTATTGTTGCTTTCTCGTTTTCCATACCGACTTCCAAGGTAAAAACGATCAACTCGTGCCATTAGTTCATTGGATTTATCGTTTGTTGCTTTCAGTTCAATATTTTCGCCTCGTCCGTATCTGCTTCCAAAGTTGAAGTTTACTTCACCGGCTGCTAACAAATAAATTATTTTAAATAATTTTATACAATTATTACATCGCTTGTGATGTAATTACTGAAAACTAATTAGTAAATTATTTGAGCAAACTCTCCATAAATGACGACTTAGGTTTCTTTTGATCGCGTGAGCTAAATATTATTTATATTATCACATTAGGTCTGCGAACTAAAACTGCTGTTGATAACAAAACTTTTTCAATTTATAAAAAAAAAAAAGTGTTTCACTTATTTTCATACCAAATTAACTCTAACTGGAAAAATTTTTCGTAAAAATTAACGCTGATCGCGTGTAAGGTAATGTTTTTTCATACACAAGCGTTATTCTTACCCACCTTCTAATGAGTTATACACCGCCAAATTTTATAAATCTATTTTTGTTAAGGTACAAGGATGCAAAACTTATAATTTACGTTTAAGTTCTATTTATAATTATACTACGAGCTTCGTTCTCAAGATTATAAAAATTTATATTTATATTAACCATGTAGTTACCTCTTAGCTCGCTAGAGTGCACAACTTTTAGAGAGAGAGAAAAGAAACCTCTCTGCTGCTGCTATCTACTCACCATCTCATACTTCTTTGTTGTGCGCTAGAGTGTACTTCGTAGATTTTTTGGTAAAATAATAAGTGTATATTTCGCGGTAATAATTTTTCGTTCCATAATTACGATCAGTTCAAGAAACGATGGGTAAGCGTAAGAACAAGGAAACTATTGAACAAATAGTTAAAAAGCTGAGAACTGATAAAGAACAGTCGAATGACAACGAGGGGGAAGCCAGCAGTAAGACTCATGAGGTCGATCCGACTCAGGAGTCTATATCCTCCTCGGACTCAGAGCATGAACTGCCTGAACAAACAGAGGATGACGGAAAGGCCGATGAGGCAAAAGGTAATAATCCTCATTTCAAGTATGTATTAAACAAACTTAGTCATGGGACAAAATAACGACAACACGCAATAAAAATGGTGGATGAACGCCGGCGCTTACACTAGCGGTAAGACGGCAAGCGGTTGAGTTGTAATTTTTCACCACTAGATGGAGGTGGTTTAACTGTCGAGCCTACACGAGCGGCAGGACAAGTCAGTTAAATTGCTACGCTTGTACTAGCGACAAGATAAAACAAAATAATTTTTTTTTCCAAGTAGTACATGCTTGGAAAAAAGAGACTACTGCACAAGGGTCAATAAAAATTGTTGACATTTTTCGTTTTCTGGTTGTAGACGACAAGGAGAACGAAGCTGTATTGAGTGAAGAGGAGGACTTACCTGAAGAGCTGGCAAACATTTTGGGTGAAGATCCATCTAAGCTAAAAGGTTTAGATATAAAATTACACCCGAGAATCGAGTCTCGCCTGAAATAGTGGGCTGAAAAAGGTCTTAAAACGTCAGAACGGGAAGAGCTACTCCAAAAATATAAGCGTTCGAAGCTCCAAAAATTAACACGGCAATTGAAGCAAAATTGTCTGCAAGTGCAAAGAAACGCGACACCTTCCGGGTAGAAGCGCAGAATTCGATCGGTTCGGCTGTGATGGCGGTTGGAGCGGTGGCGTCGACTCTTATATCGGAGACAGAAAGCATCGATCCTAGCTGATCCTAGCTGATGCCTTCTACCAATAGTCAGTGTCAAGAAAGGCAACTATCACGCCAGCCTTCGATAAGTCCACTAAAGATATTATGGATAAAGCCAAGTCAGACGAATATCTATTCGGGAAAGACTTGATAGATAATATCAAGAGTGTCAAGGTTGCGGAGAAGATTTTAGCAAACCCCAAATCGAACTCCAAAACCGGCTCTAGCCAAAATAAAAATTTAAATGGACCTCGCCCGGTAGGTCGTCGGTCGGGCCAATACCAGCAGGGCAATGTAGGCCAGTTCAGACCTCGTCTGACGTTCCGTCAGAACCAGAGAATTCCGTTCAAGCAGAACAACCAGACACCGAGGAACTCGGTACCCCAGGGGAAGAGCAAGCAGAGAAACCAATAGACTCCACAGTAAGTAAAGTAGCAGGGCGTTTAAGGTTCTTCTACCAGAAATGGGAAAAGGTTACAGACAACAAATTTGTATTAGAATGTATTAAAGGTTATCAGTTGAGATTTGACAGGCCGCCAGGGCAACTGAGAGAACCTAAGGTATCGTTTACAGATAGTGAGACCACGAGAGTGGAAAAGGCGATTCAGGTACTGTTCTCGAAGGGAGCTATAGAGGTATGTAGTCCGGAAGAGGGACAGTTTCTGTCTTCCTACTTTCTAATTCCGAAATAAGACGGTTCAGACAGATTCATCTTAAATCTGAAGCTTTTAAATGAGTTCATCAATGCCTCACATTTTAAAATGGAGGACCTGAGGACGGCTCGGGGTCTAGTTTTTTCCGACTACTATCTGGCCAAAATAGATGCAGAGGACGCTTATTATCTAGTCTCAGTACGCCCAGCAAGTAGAAAATATCTCAGGTTTAGGTTTCAAAATAAACTATACCAATTTACGTGCTTGGTATTTGGACTTTGCACGTGCCCATATATTTTCACAAAGATCATGAAGCCTGTCGTTAGAATATTAATATCTAAAAAATATACGTCGGTCATTTATTTAGATGATATTTTATTTATTGAAAAATCAAAAGAAAGGTGTGAGGATAGTGTTAGGGCTACCATTGCGTTGTTGGAATCGTTGGGCTTCTTGATAAATAGAAAAAAAAGTAACAGTGCCAGAAAAGAGATGTAGTTTTTTAGGCTTCGTGTTAGACTCTGAAAAGCAAACGGTAGAACTGACAGATGACAAAAAGATACAGCTGAGTACATTATTAAAGGCAGTTATCGCAAAGCCAACGCGTTCGATTAAAGAAATTTCGGAGCTGGTAGGAAAGCTGGTAGCAGCCTGTCCAGGAGTTGACTATGGCTGGTTGTATCTCAAGCCTAAAGGCTTTTTCTAAAGAAATTTCTAAAGAAAATTTCAAATCTGCAAGTCTGGCAGAGAATAATTTTAATTATGAATCTATAGTAACTATCCCGAGAAGGTTATTTTCAGACCTCCATTGGTGGGAGGAAAAAGTAAGGTTAGGTTGCAGTAAAATAAAAAGGGGAGAATATGTAAAAACAATTTTCACTGATGCGTCGGATTCAGGTTGGGGAGCCACAGATGGAACAAACAACATCTATGGGTTCTGGAACGAAATACAAACAACCTGGCATATTAACTATAAAGAACTGTACGTCGTAAAATTAGCATTAGAATCTTTGGCATCGGAGTTATCAGATAGTCAGATTCTACTGAGGGTTGATAACACAACAGCTATAGCTTATGTAAACAAGATGGGTGGCACTAGGTTACAGAGGTTTAATGAATTGACGAAGGAAATTTGGCAATGGGCTGAGGCAAGAAGGAATTTTCTATTTGCCTCCTATATCCCGTCGGAAGAAAATACTGAGGCAGACAGTTTGTCGAGACTAAGCAACGATGATGCGGAGTGGGAGTTGGCTGACTTTGCTTTTAAGATGATCATCAGTAGGTTTGAACTTCCAGACGTAGATCTGTTTGCCACAAAGCTGAACAAGACATGTGCTTGTTTTTGCTCTCGATTTCCGGATGCTGAAGCAATGGAGATTGACGCATTTACAATTAGTTGGTCAAAATTTAGGTTTTACGCTTTTCCACCGTTCGCAATGATCCTAAAAGTGATAAATAAGATCAAAGTAGAAAAAGCATCGGGTATAGTTGTAGTGCCTAATTGGCCAAACCAACCGTGGTACCCTCTTTTCCTTGATTTGTTGGTAGAAGAACCTTTATTGCTAAGACCAGATTATAATTTGTTACTATCTCCTTGCAGGATGAAGCAACACCCAAGAGCAAGTCATTTAGAATTGATGGTAGGAAAATTATCCGGGCGGCCTTTCTCCAGAAAGGCTCACCTGGGGAATCAATAGATGTCATCCTAGCATCATTATCAGACTCGTCAATAAAACAATACGAATCAGCCTTACAACAATGGAGTGACTTTTGCGGTGCAAACAAGCTAAAGATTCTGGAACCGGATAGTGAAAAACTGTTACGGTTTTTGTCAATAAAACAGAAAGAAGGAGCGTCGTATTCAGCTTTAAACACCCTGAGATCCGCAGTATCGCTCATTGCCCGGGAAAAGATTGGTGAGGACCCGCTGGTATCAAGGTTTATGAAGGGAGCCTTCAAACTAAAACCGGCAACACCCAAATATGGAACCACTTGGGATGTATCGCTGGTACTGACTTATCTGGAAAAACTCGTCCTGCTAGACAAATTATCCATCGCTCAGTTGACGTTGAAGACAGTCACCTTATTGGCCTTATGCACGGCACATAGAGTCCAGACTCTGGCCAGTATTGAAATTAAAAATATAGTAACCAAGGAGAATGCCTTGGAAATTAAAATTCCAAAGCTAGTCAAAACTTCGGGACCAAGACGTCTTCAACCGTTGTTGGTCATACCGTTCTTTGTTGAAAAACCGGGGCTATGTGTAGCTTCGACACTAAAAGCTTACATAGAAGCTTCTAAAAAAGCGAGAGGCAAGCTACCGAATCTGTTTATTTCTGTAAAAAGACCATTCAAAGCGGTTTCCAGTCAAACGATTAGTCGCTGGATTAAGGTGGTGTTATCAGATAGTGGAGTGGACACAGCTATCTTTTCGGGACATTCCACAAGACATGCAGCCACCTCAGCGGCCTTTATCAAGGGCGTTAACTTGGATACGATCAGGATGACGGCGGGATGGTCGAAGGAATCAGGGATGTTTGCAAAAGTTTACAATAGACCGATCACATCGGATAATCAAATTTTTGCAAAAGCAATTCTTGGTATAAACAATTAAATAAGTGGGTTATTAATCATTTAATATAATTAAAAGGTTTTCAGTTTTTTTGTCAGTATTATGTAAGGATTGTGTGCAGAATAAAAAAAAAAAAAAAAAAAAAAAAAAAAATTCGCTGACTGCTCTGAACAGCTACATGGTTAATATAAATATAAATTTTTATAATCTTGAGAACGAAGCTCGTAGTATAATTTAACGATTAAACGAGCACGCCGAAGGCGTGCGAAGTTTGATCATAATTATACGAAGAGCTTCGTTCGAAAGATTAGTTTCCCACCCAACAAAATTTAGTTTGACCAATTTTGCAACACCCTACCCAGGTACTAATCTTGAGTCAGCAGAATTTTTTGGGGATCACTTAGTGTTACTCTAAAAAGTATGAGATGGTGAGTAGATAGCAGCAGCAGAGAGGTTTCTTTTCTCTCTCTCTCTCTCTAAAAGTTGTGCACTCTAGCGAGCTAAGAGGTAACTACATGGTTAATATAAATATAAATTTTTATAATCTTTCGTACGAAGCTCTTCGTATAATTATGATCAAACTTCGCACGCCTTCGGCGTGCTCGTTTAATCGTTAAAGTATACCTTAATCTTAACTTCGCCCAAAATATTTTTTGTGTAGGGGTTGAAAGAAAAACTCATTCGAGTGATATATTATTTGAAATCGTTTCGATAGAAAAAGAGTAGAATAATAATTAAATTATTTAGCAACTTTTTGTAGCAGCACGCAGAAAATTTTATAGTAGAGTTTATTATCTAGTTATGCTAAAATCTATTAACTGAATTCAATAGTAGTAGATATTATTTAAATAATTAAGTAAACCATCTGAATTGTAGTATTTGCCATCCTGATGGTAACTACTACTATTATGATGGAAATCAGTAATAATAACTGTTATTATTTTAATTAGTTACTACTATTATCAAAATCGTAATTCCTAATATAACCTGATGGTTACAGTTACCATCAGTAATAATAATAACTACTATCTAAACTAGGAAAAAATATTAAAAAAATTAAGAATCTGCGTTACTGTGGATGCATTTCTGAATAAACTAAAAGCAGCTGTAGTGCAGTGTAGTGCACAAAAAATCGGAATTAAATTCGAATTGAATTTATATTTGTCTAAAACAAGTTTCAACGGCAAATTTTTCAAAAAAAATTTGAAATTTCCAAACAAATCAAAATTTTCAATAAAATTTAAATTAAAAAAAAAAATTTTAATCTTAAAAAAAATGAAATTAAAAAAAAAAATTTTTAAGGGAATTTAAAATATTTTAATATTTCAAAGAAAAAAATGTACATTAGCTAAAATATGGATGTAAATAAAGGATTTAATTAAGTAAACTTATATTATTTTTTCTTTCAGAATTTTTACGATCTGAGATGGTTACAGTTACCATCTTCGATTGTAACAATTATAATTTATAATAATTACAATTATTATTTTTGATAGTAATCGTTACCATTATTAATAGTAACTATTACAATTGTCAATGATATCACCTATTATTTTGTTACTAATTAATTTTATTACCATTTTAGATAGTAGGAGTTACTATTTTTATATAGTAGGTAGCATAATTAATTTTTCTCCGTGTGTATGAGAATATTATAAATTTTCAATTAAATGAGAAATTTACATTCAAGCATTTTTAAAAACTACTTTAATGATTCAAGTTAAATTAAAATTAAATTCTTGCAAATTAACAACTTTATGACTACCAAAAATTCAAAATTTTAACGTAAAAAACTCAAGCTCAATATTTTTTCATATTTTTGATCACAGCATGTATAATGTTGGTCATTTTTAAATAAATGTAAAAATAATATTGGTATGACAGGATTTTATTAGGAATAAACTTGAAGAATCAACAATCTAATCAAAACTGTACCAGAAAATTAATATAAAAAGATTGACAACCGCCAAAAACATACACTGATAAAAAATTAACTTGACTCAAAAGTAAAAATTTTAAACTAAGATACCATGTTTTGAGCCAAGATATTATTTTTGATTTAATAAAATTTTTTTTTTGGTTTTAGAATTTTTTCTCTTGAATTAATTTAACCTTTTTATCAGTGTATGAAATCGTGAAATGGAACAAATTCACGTAAACAACTTTCGGATTGTATTGAATTCAAAATAGTACAGCGGTATAGAAGAGTTACCATTATCAATACTGTCTTAATTTAATCACACTAAAAACAAAATTTACTTGAATAAAGATAAAAATTCTTGAACCAAGAAAAATTTCTTCGTTTAAGAATTTTTCAACTCAAATCAATACGATAAAGTTTTTCAAAATAATGCAATTCCATTTTTCTTGAAGGATTTTATATTATTGAATCAAGAACTAGTTTTATCATTCATGATAACAAAAAAAATCTAAATATTTGATTCTATTAAAATAAAATTACTTATCACGTCACTTTCATTCAAAATTTGCATTCAAGAGTCTAAATACAAATTAAACTTTGTAATTACATAATTGAACACAACAAAGTATTTTACGAGATGATTCTCTAATTTCAATGGACTTTGGTACTGCTTAACGAGTACAAAATTAATGCTTACACCGTGATTCTACAACAATAATTAACACCACGTGGGATGAATGTATGGTAGAGTAACCTAAATATAAATTTAACTATACTCTATTGTATTTCGTTCACTAGAAATAAGCTCATTCGACAGTTAACAAACCCACAAAGCAAAAACAAACCACAGCTTCGTTTCTTGCCAGGATCAAATGACGCATAATAGAAGACCAACGAGCAACAAGTTAATTACATACGGAAGAGCAGAACTCATGTAGGTAAATAAATTACTCCAACACAATACACTATTTTTATAAAAATTTTGGATTACAGGCTAGTGTGAAAGAATTTTTCCTCTCATTTACGTTAATTAGTTGGGATCTATATTTAAAAATAAATATCATAATTAGTCCTGTTACATTTATTAGCAGGCTGTGTCTGACCTGATAAAAATTTGGCCATAGTTGTGAATAGTACGATTCATATTCATATTAATACTTCAACTCAATTACTAATCTTTATTACTCCAAATTAGATTTATAGTTAATTTCGCGAATTACGAACATTAACTTCTCTCGATTAAAATGCCGAACTTTCTAAAAAAATTATCTAATTTTGTTCAAGTGACTATCATTACTTGTGAATAGCATCAAGCCATTTACAGAGCTTGAATACCTAAAATTTTGCATAGTTTATCACAAATAATGTTCTCTTTTTTTTTTTACTTCTTGGATAAAAAGATGTTAGACTATCAGTAACGTTTCAAGGACTGCAATTAAGAGCTTAGTATCAAAAATTGATGACTGATCTACTCCAATAAAAAAAAAAAGTTAAGTCAAGAACAGACTGTGAACAAAAATCATTCTAAAAAATTTTATCTTGAATTGAACAGAAAAATTCTTAAATAATTCGACTATTATTTTTTAAAAAAGCTTACATAATCTTCATTTTATATCTATTGCTCATCAACACTATATAGTTATAAATTAGTATGTGAGCAACGATATTAATAAACTTGAATAGATTTTTTGCCAAATTTTTTCCCTAAAACTAATAGAAATATCACATGGTATTAATATTAACTGTCACTTACACACAATTTAATATTTTTCAATATAAATTAGAAATTTCTCTTTGACCATGCATTAACGATTTAAAAAAAAATATGCTTATGGTAGTACCCTCACATACTACAGTGTAGTTATCGCTATTTCTCATTCTCCCATTTACTATCCCTCATTCACTTTTACTTATGAGCATTTGCGAACTAATTTATTTATCATATCGTAGAAACTATTTTAAAAATTTATTTTTCTTAGTGAAAATCACATATATAAATAAACTTCCCGGTATCCCATATAGTGCAATGTACAAAAAAGTGTCTCAAAAACTTAAAACTGTATTGTTGAAAAATTTCACTCTGCATCAATCCATGCAGGTTAATCTGAAGATTAATGTCTAAATTTTGAAACAATCCTAATAAAAGCCACTTGGTGAGAGTAATACCTTAATCGTGAAATTTTCTTGAGATATATCGATACCCACGTTCTAAGATATCGTAACCCACATTTATACAGCAGACGATAAAAAACGTTCATTTTTAGCATTGATTAAATGGGATTCAATGAATGCAAATATTTATTTACAAATAGTCATTAAATAATTAGACGTCTAAATTTTTTAAATTAACTGCATGATATTCTTATGGATCCATTTTTAAAAAATAGTCAAGTTGTGAAATTTTGTGGATTAAGAAATCTTAGAACCTGGGTATCGATCGTCATTTTATCTATAATATTTAATATTTATTATTGAATTATTAAATTCACAATATTAAAAAATAATTTTGTCTGTGTTATTGAACTGGGAAATTATGGCATTAATATTAAACTTGAGTGCTTAAATTTTTACAGGATTTTTATCGTTATTTCGAACATTTTCTCTGTAACTAGAAAGACAATTTTTTATAAACTTCTACTGAATCCACCTTATATCTTAATGTTCCACAAAACTGCGTATTTAATAGTATTATAGAATGTTATAATCTATTGAACTGATAAAGAAGTGAATTGTTTGAAAAAGATTATTAAAAATTTATAAGGAATCATTCGTTTGTTGTTTTCGATGAAAATATTACTATTGCTAAATGAAAATTTATTCAGAAAGTCGTTTGTTCTACGAAAAAAAATAAAAATTATTTTTTAAGTCGTAATTTACTTATAAAGATAGTGACATTTTAAAAAAATTTCATTTTTAGAGCTAAAATAACAATTTTAAAATAATTATTTTATGATTCTGTATATATTTTTAAGTACCTATAAAAAGTAAATAAAGTACAAAAAGTCATAAAAATTCATTGAAAAATAATAAAAACAAAAAAAAATAAAATTATCTAAATGAACAAATAAATGATAAAAGTGTGCTTACTTGGTGGGGTCTCTTCCCGTTTACCATATCGACCATGAGTGTAAAAATTCGGTTGACTAAAGGCAACATTTACGAGGGTGAAGATGATACATAAACACGCAATCATCTTTGTTCTTTCCAAGTTAATTATCCGGATCACAGAGGGCTTACTTGTATTTATATTATTACACGACATTCCAGCATCTAGAGTAAATTACAATAAAAAATTATTACATAAAATAATAATATACTTTAATAAATATATAATTATTTCTTAAGTGTCAAATTGTTATTGATATGGTTTTTTTAATCACACTTGTCACTAATTAATTAATTTTTTTTTTTTTCCATTACCTAATTTTAGGAAAATTTTTATTCAATGTTGGGATTTGTTTTTTTCACTCCATTACATTCGTCGATTACTTTGAACTTTGAAAATAAATTTGATAATTAAAAAACACTTCTTTTTTTAATCAAATAATTATTTTGATATCTGTTGTATATTCGTTTGTAATTTAAATAAAATTTATAATTATTAATGAGTCAAATGAGAATGACGACGAGCTTGCACGGTGACAAGCCTGTAAGTTTGAGCGTGCTGGGGTGAAACTGTGGAATTGTAATGCTCAGGTGAGAGCTTTATATACTGAGCACCCAACCACCCACGATCGGGATAGATAAACTCGAAGAGAGGGAAGTTTGACCTGTTACATACTGAAAATCAACAAGTTACGGAAACATTTTTCTCATTATTTTTTTAACTTATTCATTTTTTTTAATCAATCTGTCACTCTTTTATTTAAACTGTCTCTTGATATTTTCTAATAATTTATTCTCAATTAATACTTCGTGAGAATTTTCTTATAGTCACTTCAAAATGTTAAGCTATTCCATTTTTTAAAAATGCTATAAGAAAACAAATAATTGTCAGACGCACTCGTGGGATTTGTGTAAGAATTACAATATGGAGTTTTTTTTTAACAAGAAAATTTTTAAAGTTGTGTGAAATACTACGAAAGTAGTATTATTGTTGATTATCGACGCATGACATCGGAAAGTCCATAATGAATATTTTAAATTAATTGAAGAAAATTTAATGCAATTAGAGTTACATGAAAGCGTAAGATGAAATAGAATTAAATTCTTTTGCAGAAAATCATTCAGTAGGTTTCGTACGGAATCATTTTGTGATTGCTTTTTGAAATCTAAATTTGTTTGTTAACCTCATGTTGAGGAAATATTAATTTCTTTTGATATTGAGATTACATAATTTTTAGTTCGATTTTTGAAAATTTAATTTCTATAAGATAGCGAAATTTTGAATTCATGTATGAGAAAAACAACTATTTCCCCTTTTAAAAAAATTTTCTTGACACAAGCGCCCCAAGAGTACACATATATTCCTGATAATTTTGTTAAGAATATTTTTTTTCTAACTAAAGATGAATTAAAAAAATTTTCATTTAATTCAAGTTAGGTTTATCGTATTTTTGCCTTTAATAATAAAGATAAATATTGTGATTTTTTTCGTCAAGAAATTAATAAATCAAATAGTTCATTTCAATAAACTGTGTTCTAAACAATATTTTTTCGGTTTTTTGGACCGAATATTATTCTTCTATAGAGAATATCATAATTCTAGTTCTAGTAATCAAATAGAGTGAAGAAATTCGAGTAAAAAAAGTTTTTAAGAGGAAAAACAGTTTTTGTATATGGTTCAGTATCATTTTACGAAGGATTATGCATGAATTAACTTTACTCCTATTCGACTGAAAAAATTATTATTTATTAGGAGTTGAAGGTTACATTTTTTAAAGTTTTTTTATATCTGACCATTAAACTTTCATTTATTTTTTAATATTAACTTAAATGGGCTCATATTGAAATTTTGAACAGTTTATTCATTTAATTTATTACACATAATTAATACCCATAAGAGGGTTATCTCGTTATGACGGTCACGTCATTTTTACGTATAACAAAATATATGTATACTGAGAATATTATATTATTGTTATTTTTATAATTTTGTGATAAACAACAAAATAAAATAACTACAGCATATTACAACAATACTAAAAATTCAGGATTGCTATCCTTTTTTCGCATTTAATAAAGCCAATTTATTTCAAAAAAGAAAGTTTAAAACCACTTTGGAAATTATGTAAAACGCATCAAGCAAACTTCTTATCGATTTTTTACAGAACCGCACTTTTGAATTTGCATTATTTTCATTTAATAAACCTCTTTGTTTCTCTTATTAAAGTTACATCGAATTACAACTTTTTTGTTCTTAGCTTAATCTTTTGCTCCTATTCCGCGCCTTGAGCACGGAAGCTCTTCAGGTGTGATTTACTAACCCTTTAACGCCTAAGAATTTTAAAACACCTCTGTGTGTCATAAGTGGGGAGAGCGCGGATCACAATGCATGGCGAGCTTGTGTGGGTAATAAGAGGCAATAGTAGTAATGTTATTATATTATGAGTTTCCTTTTACTAATTTTAACCCCATTTGATGAACGTGAATAGTACCGTAGCTGAAAAATGTATTCACATCGAATTTCTGTAAGTTATTATATTCTTATTATATGCCCTCCTCCCCTCCACTGCACGTGCCACGGTAAAGAGTGGGTTTTAAATGTCAAGTGCTGAAGGGTTCAGTTCATTTAAATGAAGGTAGTTCTTTTCCAAGGTATATTTTATACTATTGGTTACTTTCTCATTTGCTACTGCTGCCTTTTTTACGGACTGTCGCTAACTAGCTTCCATATACAACTATTTTTGATTACTCCACTAGTTTATTAATAATTTCTAAAAAACTATGAGGTGGTCAATTTTTTAATTTTTTGGAGTAATTATACAAATACAAAAAAAAAATTAGAAAAACGGTTGACTCTAAAGACCGTCCCTGTAACTTCCCGCTAATTTCATACCTGAGAGCTTAAAATAAAAGTCTGATAGAGATTTAATTAATAAGACACTATTCTTTAAATTTTCAAACTACAATTACTTTTAGATGCTTTTAGATTTACTTTTTAAATCCTATGATATACTTTTAATTAAAGACAAATCGATCAAACCGAAAATTTTGGAGAAATTTGAAAAATTCACTTTTTCCGAATTTTGGTTTACCCCGTTCTGCAAAAATCGAGGTTTCAACAGATCTTGACGTTTTGAAGCCCTAAGAAGCTTTCCTGACTATTTTTACAATGATATCCGTACGTCTGTATGTGTAAATCTCTTATAACTTCTGAACGGCTTGACCGATTTGATCGCAGTTGGTGCCATTCAAAAGGGCTTCGCCAAACTTAGATTTACTGTAAGTTGGAACCAATTTGGACAGTTAGATTTCGAGAAATTGCAAAAAAAGTGAAAAAAAAGTTGTATGTATGTTATGTGTGTATGTGGATGTATGTGACCCTCTTATAACTTTTAAACGGCTTGACCGATTTTATCGCGGTTGGTGCCATTTGAAAGAGCTTGCCCAAACTTAGATTTCCTGAAAGTTTGAACCGATTCGGACCGATAGATTTTGAGAAATCGGAAAAAAACTACAAAAAAAAATTTTTTCAAAAGTGGTTTTTTTGGAATAACTTTTAAACAGCTTTACCGATCGATTTCAAAAACTAATCAGCTCTTAACATCAAAAAACTACGTCGATCGCCGCTAGTCCGGTCAAAATCGGTTAATTCGTTCGTGAGTTATCGTTGACGAAAGAAAACCGAAAAAAGCGTTTTTTCGGAATTACTCCGAATTTTTCCACTCTATCAATATAAACTCAAAGATTTTCTATGAAGTTTAAAAAACTGCATCGAATTCCACCAACCGCGTGAAAATTGGTTCATTCATTCAAAAGTTATTGCGATTTGAAAATTAAAAAAATAGTGTTTTATCAAACTTCTATCAAACTTTTGAGCTCAAAAGCATACAAAAGCTATTTTTTTGAGCTCGGAGAGCTCAAAATAATACACAAATTGTATTTATGAGCTCGAAGAGCTCTAAAACGTCATAAGTGCAATTTCAAGCGTTTAGGTATAGAATTGGCGGGAAGTTGCAGGGATGGCCTTCAGGGTCAACCGTATTCCTAATTTTTATTTACTCACAATATCCGGTCGTATAAACAAACCTTCATGAATAAATAATTAAGAGAAGCACATGTATATATAGTAATATGGTTTAGTGATTAATTAAATTTTACATTATATAAGACACAAAAAAATAAGTTATTTGATTACAATACTTACATGATAATGTCACACTCTGTTAGCCATAATTGTCTTTCCCTCCAACGTTATCTTGATTTTAGTTTTTATTCTTTTTTCTCTTGTCCATTTACTGATCATTTACTTCCCATTCTTACTTTTTCCTGTTTTTCTACTTTCGACTTATCCATTATAAGCTTAAATCCAAATAAGATTGCAATTACATATACTGTCTTAAACAGAAGGCGATTCAAGCATTTATAAGTTAAGGTTAAATAAATTATACATTGATTTGAATACTTCATTTTTGATTAATATTCGAAACTAAAATCCATCCTAAAATCTTATGGTTGATGCTATAAAAATAATTTTGAATAAAATTCATTTCTATTTGAGATAACAGAACATAAAACTTTTCTTTTTCAAAAATACGTCAATTTCATTCTAAATCAGATGATTTAAAGAAATAACATTCATGACAAGAATATCTAATGAAATTATGTCTGCGGGAAAGAGGAAAAAAGCCATAGCAAAAAATTTAATCGGTAGAAATAACCGTGAAAAAGAAGTTAACTCTGAAAAAATATTAAAGGGGATAGCTACTGTGAGGATCGAAAAAATTGGTGATTTTCGAAAATTTTTCAACTAGTATAATAAAAAAATTTGGGGATCGGGTTTATTTTCTTTCATAAAGTATACATAGAAAATCATTCCTAAATCCTAAATTTTTATTAAAAATATCATGTTGTTACAAAGTTATAAGCATTTTTGTGGAGCACCAAAAATATTTCCCCCACCACGGTCTCATCTCTAACTCAAAAACGGATTATCTGAAACAAAAAAACCAAACCGCGTTATAATCTGTATGCATGTGGTTATCGTTCCACGTAAGGGATTTTGAAAATTTAGATTTGAAAAAAAATGGCGACATATTACAAATTTTTTCATTTTTTTGGTTTCAAACAGCCCTAAAAAATCTTAAAAATCAAAATTTTCAAAATCC